GTTGGGGCCTTACGTTATGTACAAGGCCAATATTGTCAAAGTACCACACTTGGATCCACTTCGAGGACAGCGTGAAACAAGCTTTTATGCCACAAGACGGGCAGAAAGCAGCAACTTCACTCTGGCTGTCCTTCTCCAAAACACTCCATCTGCGATCAATATACCAGGATGACTCGGTATGGAACCATCGTACAGCATATGATGTCAACGAGATAAAGTCAGTTGATCACATGAAAATGCTTTCCACAGACGGCTCCAACTTCATCCTGCTCCCTACTTGTATGTCTCATAAATTAAAATTGTTTTAACTGAGCTGTCAAAAAACAGGACCCTTAAGGCCCCTTGTACAAAAAGATTAGGGAAGATAACGTAAGAGAGAAGCGCAATAAAGTAGGGAAACCTGGAAAGATGTGGAAAAAAAAGAAAAAAGAGAAGGAGAGAGAGAGAGAGAGAGAGGAGAGAGAGAGAGAGAGAGAGAAGAGAGAGAGAGAGAGAGAGAGAGAGAGAGAGAGAGAGAGAGGCCTCTAGTCCTCTTCGAGTTTAAGAGAACCTTCAAAGTGGTCTACTAAAAGGAGTTCATAACCAAGAAGTAATTTAATCAGTTAAACTTGTATTCATAAAATATATTTATCGTTCGTGTAATAAAAAATTATATTCCCTATATAGTTTATATATTCCTCCTCATTATCATGAACGAATATTACTATGAACAGAGATTATATATTAAGTGAATTAATCGAGTGAGACTAAGTGGTAAGCAGTTTTGTATGGGGAGAGTAAGAAGCAAGCATCCCGTCTTCCCAATATTGGATTAGTGGCTGTGATTCTTAAGTGGATCAAACCCCTATGTCTAATTTAGGCTTTGGGTGAAGGAGGGTGTTAGCTTCCCCTTACCCTCTTAATAAAGCGCTGAGTATCGATTGATATCATTTGCTTAACTCACTTAACCAGCACAGCATCTTAACCGACAGTAATATTCTTCGAAGATACCGAGGATGGGGTTTAATATTACACTATATGAGCAGGTGGAAAGTACAGTGATTGCACTCTGGCAAGACAAGTGATGGAATGAGTGATGATGAAAGTGTTTCTTCTTTTCCCTTGATGGGAAACTGACACAGTTTAAGAAAAAAATAAAGAATGATTTGCTACATCAGTCTTGCTCGCTACACTGAATTATTATATTCATGATTAGCCTCTAGAAATGGGAGGGTGGCACCAATACCTTGAATGGTTACTACGCTGAAGTGTAAATAGAATTTTCACTGTTTATCTCTGAACAGCATCGTCCTGTCTATTCAAATGATATGCAAGTTAACAAGTTCTTGCCATACCAAGCCATGTGTTCAGTGATCATGATGCGCAGCGCCCTCGCCACCGCCTGCTGCTCTTGCGGGAGTTTACCCTCGAAGACCTTGCCGAAGTGGTGACCGAGGTGCTCAATCACCAGCTGCGAATCTGCCAGCTCTTGCCCGTTGAAGGTCACCCAGGGGCATTGTCCTTTGGGGCCCAGAGGCTCTACGTAATCCACCTGATAATGAAACATGAAGAGTTCATGGAAGTGAAATGATATACAAACACCAACAAAGCGAAGCACATAAAGACCAGTTGGGTTCCTTTGTTTACGACTAGTCTATAAATAAAGATAACCATTACTTCTAAGTGCGTTTACTCCAAGAGAACTTTTCAATAAAGCATTTTTGAACTGCATCATGCGGCTACCAGATGAACATGACATTTCCAAATGTTACAAGAAGAGCTAATGTTTACATAACATATTTTTCGCTAAAGAGGATATTCCTCCCATTGAGAATAATACATGACTAGTTTAATAACTAATTACCGTATTTTCCGGTCACACGACGTGTATAAGGCGCACGACAAACAGTATTATAACGGTAAGTCAGTAATTATATTCAAGACCTAATTACCCTCTTTACTCTATAGCCTACCCTTGACCCTGACATTGAGCATATAAGGCGTAGACTGATTTTCCAATACTTTTTTGTGGGATAAAAGCCACGCCTTACATGCCATTAACCCGTGGGGGTTACACAACGCCTAGATGAATGAAAGGAAGCCATATTTGATCCATGGAGGATGACAACTGCTCCAGTTCCTTCGACCCACATCATCTGTTATTGTGATATGGGAGACTTTAATAGGGCAATTCAGGTGTCTTCAAGCACTATGAGTTGACTAACTAGGGCAGTAAGACCAAAAGGGTGACCTTAAGTATTTCCTCCTTTTTATATGAGGGATTTTTCTTGTGCAATTCCATTTACGTTTAAATTAATGATCCCTGTCGACTATATAAAGGATACCAAATTATGACTTCCCATGAACTATGGCTCATAACTCTGTTTAAGATATGTTTGCTCTTTCCTTCTCCTCCTCCAGCATATTTGCGAAGAGTTACTCTGTTTATTGGAGTAATTGTCTTCAACATATCCTATTACTTCATTAAATAGAAAATCCCACATGAACTAGCCTGTTGTAACCCTACCATCCGTAACATTTCGTATTTGCCTCCCCCCCCCCCAAAAAAAAGCAGATAAAGAGACGAAAACAAACAGTGGGCTACAGTTATTTACCTCGTAGGGGATGCTGGCGAGTCTGAGATAAGTCTCCAGCTTCATGACGAAGGGAGAGATGTTAGGAGTGAGCCGTCCCTTCGGGAGAGCGTGAACCACCACCACGTCCTTACCCACAGCAGCCCACTTCTTCCTGAAGAGAGAGAGAGAGAGAGAGAGAGAGAGCAGATTGCATGACGGAAGAGAACTGTTTTTGAAACAGGCAGATGTTGTTAAGCAGAGGACGTCTACAAATGAATTGCTAATTTGTGAGTCAGTCAATAGCAAAAATAACAGGATGAAATATTTCAGAGTAAGTTTTTATGTGGCATTGTAACCACATAATTATCATGACCGTGTGCCATTAGAGGAAATAATAATAATAATGATGATGATGATAATAATAATAATAATAATAATAATAATAATAATAATAATTATTATTATTACTATTATTATTATTATTATTATAATAATAATACATTTGCAGATGCTGCAAATAGGAGGTAGGTTACTGAAAGCAGTGAAGAGTTTTTACGAAGATAGTGAGGCTCAGGATAGAGTATATAGGAGAGAGGGAGATTATTTCCCAGTAAAAGTAGGCCTTAAACAAGGATGTGTGATGTCACCGTGGTTGTTCAATATATTTATAGATGGGGTTGTAAAAGAAGTGAGTGCGAGGGTCTTGGCAAGAGATGTGGAGTTAAAAGATAAAGAATCAAACATAAAGTGGGAGTTGTCACAGTTGCTTTTTGCTGATGACACTGTGCTTTTGGGAGATTCTGAAGTTGCAGAGGTTGGTGGATGAGTTTGGCAGGGTATGTAAAAGAAGAAAATTAAAAGTGAATATAGGAAAGAGTAAGGTGACGAGGATAACAAAAACAAATAGGTGACGAAAGATTGGATATCAGATTGGAGGGAGAGAGTATGGAGGAGGTGAATGTATTCAGATATTTAGGAGTGGACGTGTCAACAGATGGGTCTATGAAAGATAAGGTGAATCATAGAAATGATAAGGTAAAAAGGTGAGTGGTGCAGTGAGGAGTCTGTGGAGACAAAGAACTTTGTCCGTGGAAGCAAAGAGGGAAATGTACGAGAGTATAGTTATACTAACGCTTTTATATGGGTGTGAAGCATGGGTGGTGGATATTGCAACAACAAGAAGGATAGAGACAGTGGAGATGTCGTGTCTGAGGGCAATGTGTGGTGTGAATATAATGCAGAGAATTCGTAGTTTGGAAATTAGGAAGAGGTGCGGGATTACCAAAAGTATATTATCCCGAGTGCTGTGGAGGGGTTGTTGATGTGGTTCGGATATCTAGAAAAGGTAGAACAAAATAGAATGATTTCAAAAGTGTATAAATTTGTAGTTGGAGGGAAGGCGGGGAAGGGGTCGGCCTAGGAAAGGTTGGAGGGACGGGGTAAAGGAGGTTTTGTGCGAGGGGCTTTGACTTTCAGCAAGCATGCGTGAGCGTGTTAGATAGGAGTAAAAGGAGACAAATGGTTTTCAAGACTTGACGTGCTGTTAGATTATGAAGGAAGTCAAGGAAACTGGCAGGCCGGACATCAGTCTTTTAGATGGGAAGTACAGTGTCTGCACTCTGAAGGAGGGGTGTTAATGTTGCAGTTTTGTAACTGTAGTGCAAGCGTGACACTGGCAAGACAGTGATGGAGTGCATGAAGTTTTTCTTTTTCGGGCTACCCTGCCTTGGTGGGAGAAGGCCAGTGTGTTAATAAATAAAATAACAGTAATTGTATTATTATTATTGTTATTATTATTATTATTATTATTATTATTATTATTATTATTATTATTATTATTATTATTATTATTATTATTATTATTATTCTAGAGAGAGAGTGCTCACCTTCTCTTGTTGGCGAAGTAGCGGTGGAGGATGGTAACTCCTACGACCAGTACTGCAGTGGCTGCTAGATTTCGACCCCTGCATCCCTTGAACCAACAGATACCACCTCGTACGCACCTCGGAAGGGAGTACCTGCCGCACTCCCTTACTCCCACCGCCACAGCCTCACTCACCATGATGCACTCGTCCTGGAGTCGCACAAGAGACTAATACAACCCTCACTATTTGTGGAAGACTCTGCTACCAGCTGCATCAACAAAAAATAGTCCAGTAGCTTTTATTAAACTATTTCTCGTCAGAGATTTTTTTCACATTATATTTCTTGTGATGCGCTAAACTTGTAGGGGGTCATGCCGTGCCTGGAGGCAGGGGCGGATCTACGATGAAACTAATGAAGCTTAAGCTTCAGGGCCCCTAATCCCGGTGGGGCCCCAGAATCCACTTTAGTCCACATTGATTACAATTTTGGGTCTGCTGTATGAGAAGGGGAAACGAAGTGGCCCCCACAACAGTTCAAGCTTCAGGGCCCAAAAAATGTAGGTCCGCCTCTGCCTGGAGGTAATGAGGTTTGATTCGAAGGACAAAGCGGCTCTAATTCCTTTGATCAAGAGCCCTTCACTGGTATCAAGGCCCCACTGCAGGGTGTTTTTTATGTAAAATGTTTCTGACAGAAATTTACTAAACCTCCAATTCAGTAAAGTGAACAAACAATGGAAATTAGTCACGTTGTTTGACTTTACAAGGTCATCCTTAGTTACATCTTCATAATGCACTCTGTATGTATGTATGTTTGTATGTATGTATGTAGGTATGTATGTATATGTGTATGTATGTATGTATGTATGTATGTATGTATGTATGTATGTATGTATGTATGTATGTATGTATGTATATGTGTATGTATGTATGTATGTATGTATGTATGTATTTGTATGTATGTATGTATGTATGTATGTATGTATGTATGTATTATATTATGTATGTATGTATGTTGTATGTATGTTTGTATTTTATGTTTGTATGTATGTATGTATGTATGTATGTATATGTGTATGATATATGTATGTATGTATGTATGTATGTATGTATGTAGTATGTATGTATATTATGTATGTATGTAATGTATGTTTGTAATGTATGTATGTATGATTATGTAATGTATGATATGTATGTATGTTATGTATGATGATGTATGTATGTATGTATGTATGTATTATGTAATGTATGTATGTATGTATGTATTATGTATGTATGATGTATGTATATGTATGTATGTATGTTGTATGTAGTTGTATGTATGTATGTATTATGTATGGTATGTATGTATTTATATGTATGTATGTATGTATATATGAGTATGTATGTATGTAATATGTATGTATGTATGTATGTTGATATGTATGTATGATGTATAGGTAATAATAGTAGTAGTCAAATATATGTTGAAGTATATCATGTATGTAGTCATAAGTATGTGTAGGAAATATGTGTACTTAGCCTTTGTAGTTGAGATGAAGTATGGTAAATTAGTATGAGTAGTGTATTAGTTGGTTATGTATGACGCTTTACTGAGGTATCATGACACATGTTAAGGAAGATACGATAAGACATCTGAAGCCTGAATAAGTCGATCATAGTTAGAGCCAACTGAAGAGGCAGAGGGCACAGGACATAGTGAAGACACCGTGAGAAATCATAGTTCGGAGAGATTAGCCTTATCATGCTAAGTGATGTAGGCAGTACTCGCCTAACTGGTAACACTGAGGACAGGAGCATACAGGATATGATAGCAGTCGAAATACTGAGAGGAATTAAGAAAGTGAACAGAGACAGTATGTTTCAGAGATGGGAAGTAGGAATTAGAGGGCACAAATATAAGTTGAAAACTCAGATGAGTCATGAAGATGTTAGGAAATATTTCTTCAGCCTTAGAGTTGGCAGGAAGTGGAACAATCTGGAGAGTGAAGTGGTAGAGGCACGGTTCATACACAGGTTTAAGAGGAGGTACGATAAGACTCCTGAAGCCGGAAGAGAGTGGATCAAGTAGCAGCCAGCGAAGAGGCGGGGCCAGGAGCTGTGAACCGACCCCTGCAACCACATATACGTAAGTATATGTAAGTATATGTGGTCAGTACTCGCTATGTGTAGCAGTGACTGCGTCACCCCAGTGTCAGTCACAGACAATAATTGTAGCAGTGACTGCGACACCCCACAGCGTCAGTCACAGACAATGACTGTAGCAGTGACTGCGACACCCCACAGTGTCAGTCACAGACAATGACTATAGCAGTGACTGCGACACCCCACAGTGTCAGTCACAGACAATGATTGTAGCAGTGACTGCGACACCCCACAGTGTCAGTCACAGACAATGATTGTAGCAGTGACTGCGACACCCCACAGTGTCAGTCACAGACAATGACTGTAGCAGTGACTGCGACACCCCACAGTGTCAGTCACAGACAATGATTGTAGCATTGACTGCGACACCCCACAGTGTCAGTCACAGACAATGACTGTAGCAGTGACTGCGACACCCCACAGTGCCAGTCACAGACAATGACTGTAGCAGTGACTGCGACACCCCACAGTGCCAGTCACAGACAATGATTGTAGCAGTGACTTTCACAATACACAAAAGGACTCCAATGGAAATAAGTCACTTTGTCTGACTTTTTTTGGGTTATCCCAGGTTCTCTACACATATGCTGCTATGTATGATAGTCTATGTAACTGTATTTGTGTATACCTGAATAAACTTACACATAAGTGCCATGTATGTCATGTGTTCACCAGCAGACAAGAATGCTTTGATCTTAGAAGGGATGTAACCTCACAGCATATATACAGAGATATACACCTGTCGATGTATAAGTATTCTGTAATGATAAGCAAGTTACAAATTTATGATCTGCTAAAGGTCGTAAGATAAGATAACATTTGTCCGTTTTTTAACCAGGAGGGCTAGCCACTGGGATAACGCGAGAAAGTCAATGAGCAATCAAGGATTGTCTGTCTTATTTCCATTGTGGTCCTTCAGTCTCGTCCCCCAGGATGCGACTCATACCAGCTGACTAACACCCAGGTGCCTACTTGCTGCTAGGTGAACAATGACAGTAGGTGTAAAAAAAACATGCATAGTGTTTCAACCCGTGACAGGGATTGAACCACGAACACTCACTGTGTGTGGCGAGTGCGTTGCCAACTAAGAACTTTATGCTGACATGAATTCAGTCAGAAAGGCATTGCAACGTAATTTATATGTGGTTATGACTTATTTATATTACAAACAGTTAAACAAAGCATGGTTAAATTTAGTTACGAGCTATTTACAACAGGCAAAATAAAGATATTATTCCATGATTGCTGCTAATTTGAAATATTCTTACGTTTACCATTAAACCTGAATTACATACTCGTTTTTTAAGTCGCCGTTCAAAGAAAACAAGATGGATCCTCTTTCACTGTTAGGTGAACAGGGACAGCAGATGTCTTAAGGCAGTGGTTCCCAAACTGGGGGTAAATTACCCCCTGGGGGTAATTTAACCATTTTTGGGGGGTAATGGAGGGGTGACAGAAAAAAAGTTATGAATTCTGAAAATCAAGAAAACAATGCGGTACCCGGTATGAGGATTATTGTTAACTTTGTCTTAGTATATAAAGTTGTAAAGTAAACCTATTATAAGTAAGTAATAAAGTTAAACCAAATAACAATAAACATCAAAAACTAATATACAGTATTAGAAAAGAAGAAAATATATAGCTAAGTGTGTGGAAACCCAAAAGTATTTTGACAAGTATGCTTCAGGACAAAGTCACTCAGTAGCCCAGATCGACCTGTCCCGTACGCGTCACTCACTTCCTGAGGCTGCCTCTATTTCACACTGTCAGTTTATCTGTGAGCATCAGCCGAGGTAGACATAAGCTGGCATGAAGCCAAGAATTCCTAAATTAGCTTCAAGTATGCAACTCCATCCATCCCACTGATGTTCTTGACATCTTTGGTAATAGTCATTAGAGATGCACAATGTTCAAATACAATAAATAAAAGAAAATATCTCAAGTGTTTTAATTTAGCCATATATATCAATAATAACAACATTTTGTGAAAGGGGTAACATGCTTTATGTGGCATGTTAAATTGGGTAACAAGCTGAAAAAGTTTGGGAACCACTGTCTTAAGGAAACGTCCTAATTTTTTCAGATGTACCGGGGATAGAACCACAGCCTCAATGTGTGAGCTGAGTGGGCTGGCAGCCGAGCTACGGGACACTTATTCGTTGTCATTACAATTCAAATTAATATATATATATATATATATATATATATATATATATATATATATTATATATATATATATATATATATATATATATATATATATATATTTTAATTTATACAAAAATATATTTATATATAATATATTTATTTATAGTAATACAAATTCTATAAGCAAAAGAGGAATAAATCAATGACACACCCGAATTTTTGATGGGGCGAAATGAGATAGGTTTGTTAGATTATGTATTGGGAGATAAACTGGACTGTTGAAAAAGGACTCTGGATGTTACATGTTTAATAGAATTTGGGCACAGATATATCAGATACTTCTAGTTGTAGCTACACTGAGAGTAAGGAGATGGGATCACAGGAGAATAAGAATCATGGGAAGAGAGAGGTGAAGGTTATACAAAATGGGAGTTAGGTATATAAACAGCTATTGGAGGATAGATGGAAGGAGCATAGGCAATGGGGCAGAGTTTAGGGGTGTTTAAAATTGTGTTAGATGTTCAGCATGTTTTGTTACAGGCAATAAGGCACCAACCCCCCCCCCACTCCGGTCTAGTAGGAGAGGAGCGATTGGTGAATGATGATGTAAGAGAGTAGTAAGGGAAAAAGTTGCATTGAGAAAGTTTTTACAAAGTAGAAATGAGCAAGGAGGGAAGAGTTATGGGAAAAGAGGAGGTTAAGAGAGTGGTGAAGCAATTTAAAAGAGAGCAAATTGGGGAGTGGTGAGTGTTATCAAAAATTTTGTTGAAAAAAGAAAAAATTTGGAGTGAGATTAACAAGTTAAGAAAGCCTAGAGAACAAATTGATTTGTCAGTTAAAAATAGGAGAGGAGAGTTATTAAATGGAGAGTTAGGGTATTGGGAAGATGGAAGGAATATTTTGAGGAATTGTTAAATGTTGATGAAGATAGGGAAGCTGTGATTTCGTGTATGGGGCAAGGAGGAATAACATTTGTAGGAGTGAGGAAGAGCCAGTTGTGAGTGTGGGGGAAGTTCGTGAGGCAGGTAGGTAAAATGAAAGGGGGTAAGGCAGCCGGGTTTGATGGGATAAAGATAGAAATGTTAAAAGCGGTGGGGGATATAGTTTTGGGGGGTTTGGGTTTGCAATTATTTAATAATGTATGGAAGGGGTAAGGTACTAGGGATTGGCAGAGGAGCATGCATAGTTCCTTTGTATAAAGGCAAAGGGGATAAAAGGGGAGTGCAAAAATTATAGGGGGATAAGTCTGTTGGTGTACCTGGAAAAGTGTTTGGTAGAGTTTTTAATTGAAAGAATTAAGAGTAAGACGGAGAATAGGATAGCAGATGAACAAGGAGGCTTTAGGAAAGGTAGGGGGTGTGTGGACCAGGTGTTTACAGTGAAACATATAGTGAACAGTATTTAGATAAGGCTAAGAGGTCTTTGTGGCATTTATGGATTTGGAAAAGGCGTATGACAGGGTGGATAGGGGGGCAATGTGGCAGATGGGTTTCAAGTGTATGGTGTAGGAGGTAGGTTACTGAAAGCAGTGAAGAGTTTTTACGAGGATAGTGAGGCTCAAGTTGAGTATGTAGGAAAGAGGGAAATTTTTTCCAGTAAAAGTAGGCCTTAGACAAGGATGTGTGATGTCCGTGGTTGTTTAATATATTTATAGATGGGGTTGTAAGGAAATAATGCGGAGGGTCTTGGCAAGAGGCGTGGAGTTAAAAGATAAAGAATCACACACAAAATGGGGAGTTGTCACAGCTGCTCTTTGCTGATGACACTGTGCTCTTGGGAGATTTGAAGGAAGTTGCAGAGATTGGTGGATGAATTTGGTAGGGTGTGGGAAAAGAAAAAAATTAAAGGTGAATACAGGAAAGAGTAAGGTTATGAGGATAACAAAAAGATTAGGTTGGAAAGATTGAATATAGATTGGAGGGAGAGAGTATGGAGGAGGTGAACGTATTCAGATATTTTGGGGGTGGAGTGTCAGCGGATGGGTTATGAAGATGAGGTGAATCATAGAATTGATGAGGGAAAAAGAGTGAGTGGTGCATTAGGAGTCTGTGGAGACAAAGAACTTTGTCCTTGGAGGCAAAGAGGGGAATGTATGAGAGTATAGTTTTCCAACGCTCTTATATGGGTGTAAAAGCGTGGGTGATGAATGTTGCAGCGAGGAGAAGGCTGGAGGCAGTGGAGATGTCATGTCTGAGGGAAATGTGTGGTGTGAATATAATGCAGAGGAATTCGTAGTTTGGAAGTTAGGAGGAGGGGGCGGATTACCAAAACTGTTTTGTCCAGAGGGTGAGGAAGGGTTGTTGAGGTGGTTCGGACATGTAGAGAAAATGGAGCGAAAACAGAATGACTTCAAGAGTGTATCAGCCCTGTAGTGGAAGGAAGGCGGGGTAGGGGTCGGCCTAGGAAGGGTTGGAGGGAGGGGGTAAAGGGGGGTTTTGTGTGCGAGGGGCTTGGACTTCCAGCAGGCAGCGTGAGCGTGTTGATAGGAGTGAAGGGAGAAAAATGGTTTTTAATATTTGACGTGCTGTTGGAGTGTGAGCAAAGAAAACATTTATGAAGGGATTCAGGGAAACCGGGCGGGCCGGACTTGAGTTCTGGAGATGGGAAGTACAGTGCCTGCACTCTGAAGGAGGGGTGTTAATGTTGCAGTTTAAAAACTGTAGTGTAAAGCACCTTCTGGCAAGACAGTGATGGAGTGAATGATGGTAAAAGGGTTTTTCTTTTTCGGGCACCCTGCCTTGGTGGGAATCGGCCGGTGTGATATTAAAAAAAAAATAAAATAATAAATAAAAATATATATATATATATATATATGTTTCCGAAGGTTCTTTTGGAACAAAATTATTAACTTTTAATAATAATATCTTTATTTACTACAAGTACATGTACAAGGTATACAGGCAAATTAGGTCAGTTCTGTCCCAGGATGCGACCCACATCAATCGACCAACACCCAGGTACCCATTTTACTGATGGGTGAACACAAGAAAATTTTTAGAAAGGACTTAATTTTAAATGAGTTCCTGCTAATTGACCGATTTTACCTGTTCGACACCACTTTTTCTTGAAAATAAGAACGACTCTGGCCTACTAGCCTTATCAGGCATTGTATTAATAGCAATAGGAATTTGGAGTGACAACTTTCTTACTATTACAAATGTTAAAACATCTGTATTTGTGTTGAAGTTGTTTGATGCACCGGCAGCTTACTAATGATGATGCAGTAATTATGTATCATCACTTGCAAAAATTTTTTTATTTTATACTGTGTTTGGACAATATCCTCTATTCAATCTTCTATTCAAGATTGATGGACTGACCACATCGACTCAAGGTTGAGGGACTGATTACCTCATTCTCCTCCTGTTCTTCAAGATTCTCCTTTGTATGGACTGATGAAGCCACTGTGTGGCGAAACGTTTCCTCAATAAAGATACCCAAGAGTTGCACATGTGTCTAATTTATCAACATGTCGGTTCTCTGAACCATTCATCTACAAATCCTCGTTCATGGATGCAACTGAGGATTTTTAGCTATTGCCTTAGTTTTATAGAATTGTTCTAATATGGTCAAGTATTCAAACTACAGTGCATATTCTAAATAAATAGCATTATTAAGGCTGCATTACCAGTGAGCCGCCACAACATAAGCACACACAGATACCCAATCTCCAGTGTACATACCTTACGATATTACGCGATGGAGAATTGGAATGCTATTTTTGAGAAGGTAATAAACAGACCACATCATTTAAGAGCTTCATTCACTAAACGATCAGACAAAGTGAACA